ATTCAAGCGAAAAACAACCGAAACAACAGGTTTAAATACATGTTTGTCAATTACTAAGTAGATTATCGAGAAACACGCCAAAAAACGAACACGAAAAAAACGTCATCTAATTCACATCTCGGTTTTCTGTTTTCGATTCTTGCGAGGGTATTTTAGTAATTTTACGAAAAACAAAATGTAAATTAGGTAAAAATRTAAAGGAGTATTCTATAATTTGTCTCATTTTGGGTTTTGTGTTTATTGGGCCCATCTTGTACATTTTACTTTATTTTTTTTCCCTAGCAGACAGCTCCTCTCAGAAACACAAAACCAAAAGCCAGCAGCATCAACGACACAACATAGAATCAAAAAAGGTGAACTACAGTTAGTCATAGAAAGTAACGCAAGGAGATCAAGCTGGAATGGGTTGAAATCGAGGTTTAGAGATTTGTGATTTTTATATGATTTTGTTTATGAAGCTGCAAATCGAGAATCGCAACTGAATTTTTGATCCTTCTGGTAAGTTTTTTCGTGCTTTCTTTTTTGTTGATTTGTTAGTTCCATGACTTGTGTCATTGTATGATCAAACTGAYGCTGATGTTAATTACTTGTTTAGTTGTTTTGTTGAGTGATCGATGAACTAGTTATCGTTTGTTTCTGTTTAACTTAATCGMAATTCTGTTATGATCACGACCGATCGGAATAGGGTTTGATGATGTGAAGTTTTGGATCTCAGAAATTTAGGGCTTGATCACCGGTTGTTTGTTAATCTGATGAGTTAGGTGTAACTTGTGAAATGGAATTATTGGTTTAAAGTTCATAAATATTGCTGAATTTTTAATTTTTTTATGAAAATTTTAGTTTGAAAATTGTTTTCTGATTTGTTTTCTAGTTCACTATTTGTGATTTTTGGTTGATTCTCTTTACAGTTGAAAGAATTGAAAATTTTCGAGCAAATCTGGAGTGTTGYTTCTATTATTTGAGCAAAAACTCTGTAATTGTTATTATGTGAGATCCCACATCACTTGGGAAGCGGAATAAGGGACTGGATCCCCTCTGTCATTTGCATATTTAAAAAACMGTGAGTYTAGGTGTGGACAAAACTGAMAATATCTTATAGAGTTGCCTGGATGTTACATATAATGAGTTAAAGCTGARCATTTTCATCTTGTTTGTTTGCTAGGAATGACAGAAGGAAATTAAGGTTACTCGGGGTCGAACTTTACAAAATTCTTTCTTTATTTGGGAGGCTTGAACCATGGCTACTTTGTCAAAGACGGACTCGAGGCGCATGTATTCTTGGTGGTGGAACAGCCATATTAGCCCCAAGAATTCAAAATGGCTTCAAGAAAATCTTACGGGTATAACTTTCTGACTCTCAAAGTATCTTCTAGCTCTCTATTGTTCCTGGTGGAAGTCAGTGTTGGTGATTTTAGTGTCATCAATCATTTTGGTGTAATTGTGATTYACTTGGGATCGACTAGATGACAAGGCAAACATAATGCAAGTTAGGAGGTGTAGAATGTACACTCACAAATGTTGYCCCTTACCATCCTAGATCACAATAAGGCAGGGGTCAAGGGGTTGTGCCTCCTTGCAGGGTYMAAGGGGCAGCACCCCTGGCTGTGATCCTGCTGAGCATTATGACTCACAGCTTCTGATTCACTTCAATTTTATTCATAAGCGGTTGTAATTCTTGTGCAGATGCATATTAACCGCCTAACCACCCGAAACCGTCGATCTCTTTTATAAATACGTAAAACGGTTAATCTAGTGCATGTAGATACTCGAGTTTGTGCCTTGAAACTAGAGTGAGTTCTTGGATTATCACAATAGTGATWTCGTGAAACCAAAGGCATAAAAGGGTCAAAATATAGTATTTGGAAAGTGCAATACATACATGATTGAAGAACTATCCAAGTGAATGTAACCACAAAACCCAGTTTCTCAACAGTCAATCCATTTATCGTGGGTGATCGTTGTTTGGAAATAAATTGAAATCGTAGGTCTATCGTTGTTGCTTATTAGATGTTTTGAGGACCCAGTGTTTCCTTTCGTTACACTACCAAGAACCCTAGGTACACCCTTGTTTCTACTATCCATTTCTTACAAGATTGTCATGCAAATTGGTAAAAGCTTAAAGTTGTAGAATATAGCCAATTATATATTTGGAAAACGGTTTCAGGTTCATCTAATCAAATACTTGTATAGTGGTTTTCAACAAATTCCAATTTAAAAATCGAAGCGTTCTTTCTGACAAGTCCACCTAGAACACAACATCAGACTCAGGGACATGTGTAGACTGAAATTGGAACACAAACCCAAGCCAAAGTGAACTACAGTTGGTCCTAGAAAGTAACACGGCGAGATCAATCTGGAATGGTTGAACTCGAGGTTTAGARTTTTGTGATCTTTATAGTTTTGTTTATGCAGCCGCAAATCAAAATCGCAACTGAATTTTGATTCTAGCAAGCTTTTTCACAAATTCTTGTTGTTGATTTGTTAGTTTTATATGATCAAACTCACGCAGATGTTGATTACAAACAACTAGACAATATCAACACCGGCCTGGGTTTGATCATACAATGACGGAAGTCAGGTAACTAACAAATCAACAACAAAAAGCTGTGAAAAAAACTTACTAGAAGAATCAAAATTCAGTTGTGATTTCAATTTGTAGCTGCATGAACAGAACTATATAAAAATCACAAACTCTAAACCTCGATTTCAACCCATTCCAGCTTGATCTCCTTGCATTACTAACTGTGGTTTACCTTTTTTTGATTTTGTGTTGTGTTGATGCTACTGGCTTGGGTTTGTGTTTCGGAGAGGAGCTGTCTGCTAAGGGGAAAAAAGAGTCTGGTGTCCGTTTGGCAGAAAATCATATTTGGAAACTTGTGAATTTTCTCATCTTCTCTTTCCTCTTTCTCTTGCTGGCTGAGCAGCTCGTTACTTTTTTTTTTTTCTTGTGTGATTGAATAGATGTCGATATCAAGGTGAAAGCAATGATAAAGCTCATYGAAGAAGACGCAGATTCATTTGCTAGACGGGCAGAAATGTACTACAAAAAGCGTCCCGAGCTTATGAAACTGGTTGAAGAGTTATACAGAGCTTATCGTGCCTTGGCTGAAAGATACGATCATGCAACGGGGGCGCTCCGCCAAGCTCACAAAACAATGACAGAAGCCTTCCCAAATCAAGTCCCATTGTTGCCCGATGATCCATCTGCTAATTCTCCATATGACAGTGATCCTCAGACGCCGAGAACTACCRTACGTGCGTGTTTTGATCCCGATGATTTGCTGAAGAGGAATGGGGCAATGGATGAAGAATCTGATGTAGTCGGGTCTACAGGAACGGTCAGACGAGGTCTCAAATTCGGTGATTCAGACGATGGCAACAACAAGCACAGGGCGCAGACTCGAGCCTTGGCTGAATTCGAGACTGATAAAGAAATCCTATTGTTAAAAGAGTCCGTAGCCAAAGTTGAAGACGAGAAGGAAGCTGGCCAGAAGCAGTATCTGGAAAGTTTGGAGAGATTATCGAAACTGGAGTCTGCGATCTCTAGTGCACAAGAGGATTCCCGWGAACTTGCTAGCCGAGCAAGTGAAGCCGAGGCTGAAGCCCGAACGTTGAAAGACGTCCTCCAGAGATTAGAAACCGAAAAGGAAGAAAGTCTTAAGCTATACCACTTTGGGTTGGAGAAGATGTCCAATCTCGAGAATGCTCTGGCACATGCCCGAGAGAGCGTTGAGGAACTCAACGAGCAAGCAAGGGAAGGTGAAAACATAACCCAAAATTTGAAACACGAAATTGCRGAATTGGAGAAGAGATTAGCGGAAGCAGAGAAGGAAGCGAGGGATTTCCGTGAACGAGCTGAGAAAGCCGAGAGTGAAGTCAAGACATTGAAGCTAGCTATCGACAAATTCGATAAYGAGAAGGAAGCACAATCTCTCTTGTACCAGCAATGCTTGGAGACTATTTCCGATCTCGAGGCTAGACTCACTTGTGCCCAAGAAGAGGCTGAAAAGCTAAAGAGCGATATTGAAAACGGGGTTTCACTGTTAAAGGGTGCAGAAGAACAACGTTTGATGCTTGAGAARTCAAACAAGACTCTTCACACGGAATTGGAATCGATGGTGTTGAAAATGGGGTCTCAAACCGAAGAACTAACAGAGAAACAGAAGGAATTGGGAAGACTTTGGACTTGCATACAAGAGGAACGACTTCGGTTTTTGGAAGCCGAGACCGCTTTCCAGACTTTGCAACAGTTACACTCCCAATCTCAAGAAGAACTACGATCTTTGGCTGCCGAGCTACAGAACAGGGCTCGGGTTTTGACGGATATCGAAACTCGAAACCGAACTTTAGAAGGAGAGATACAGAAGCACATTGAGGAGAACAAGAACCTCAACGAGCTCAACTTGTCTGTGATCGGTAGCTTAAAAGAATCTAACTGTAAACTCGAGAAAGAGGTAGAACTCAGAGTCGACGAAAGAAACGCTCTCCAGCAAGAAATATATTGCCTAAAAGAGGAACTGAACGATTTGAATAAGAATCACCGATGTATYTTGGACCAAGTTGTTTCCGTAGGCTTGAACCCTGAAAGCTTAGGATCATCCGTAAAGGAGTTGCGGGATGAGAACTCTAATTTGAAAGAGGAATGCCAAACCGAAAAAAGTGCAAAAGCCGCTCTACTCGAGAAACTCGAAATACTGGGTCAGCTTCTCGAGAGAAATSTCGTTTTGGAGAATTCGCTCTCGGATTTGGGTGCCGAATTAGAAGGTGTTCGGGGTAAATTAAAAGCACTTGAAGGATCATATCAATGCCTTTCAGAAGAGAAATCTACTCTCGCTATTGAGAAAGCGAATCTACTAGGTCAGTTACAAGTAACGACCGATAATTTGAGTCTAGTATCAGAGAAAAACACCGTTCTTGAGAATTCCCTTTTCGATGCTCATGTCAAACTTGAAGTTTTGAAGCAGAAATCGACGAGCTTCGAAGATTCATGTCGATTGCTTGCCGATGAAAAATCTGCACTTATAACCGAAAAGGATACTCTAGCTTCGCAAATGGAGATCACTGAGAAAAGCTTGAACGATCTGGAGGTAAAATATACGGATTTAGAAGAGAAGTACTCGTCGATGGAGAAAGAACGAGAATCTACGCTTTGCAAAGTCGAAGATCTACACGTATCATTGGCTTTGCAAAATCAAGAACACATCATTTTCGCCCAAAAGAATGACGAAAAATTGCAGAGTTTGAGAAACCAGATTCGAGTCCTAGAAGAAGAGAATCGCGATAGAAGGAAAGAATATGAAGAAGAGCTCGATAAAGCTTTGGAATYGGATATCGAGATCTTTATCTTGCTGAGGTGTGTACGAGACCTCGAAGAAAAGAACTCATCTCTGTTCAACGATTGCCGTAAACTCCAGGAAGCATCGATGTTATCTGAAAATCTCGTTCATGTGCTGAAGCAAGAGAAAAGCGAAAACCAGGTGAAAATCAAATCTTTATCGGATCAGAACAGTAGATTGAAGACGGGTATGCACCAGTTGCTGAAGGTTGCTGGCCTTTCTTTGCATCCCGGATTCGAAAATGGTCAAATTCAAACATGTTTCGATAGCGTATGTAGAAAATTTGAAGGCACGAACTGTGCTCTCGTTGAAAATGAAGACAAAATCAGTGAATTGGTTGTCGAGATATCGATTCTAGTCGCAYTGCTGAAGCAACTGAAATCAGAAATGGCAGATATCGAGGCAGAAAAGTGCAGTATTYATCAGGAGTTAGGAGTCAGGACTGAGAAGATTCTTGAGTTGCAAACTGAGGCCCRAAAACTTTCAGAAACAAATGAAGAATTGAGATCGAGAGTAATTGAAGGAGATACCACGGAGGAAACACTAAGGACTCAGCTAGCGAGTTTACGTTCAGAGTTGTCGATTGTTCAAGGAGCTTACGAGGCTTTACAGATGGACAGTTCAGTGGTCCTCGAAGAAAATGAGTCTTTAACGAAGGATAATGTTCAGATGAACGAAAGGATTCGTCTTCTAGAAGACGAAAACGAAGTCATATTTGCTGATGTCATAAGCCAGAGTATCCTCTCTCGAACTTTGAAGAAATACCTTGACGAGAAACATGCCGAAATCAACAGGCTCGATGGAGATCTACGAAAGCTTCATGGTGTCAACAAAGTGATTGTCGAAGAAATGTCGATGGTCGAGAAGGAACTGGACGAGGTGCGAATGGAGAATCTCCATCTTAAAGAAACTTTAGAAAAATCCGAGCGTGAATTGGAAACAGTTACGTCTGTCCGTGATGAATTGAATTCCGAGTTAGTGAACGGAAGTAATCTATTGCATCTAAAGGAAATGGAACACAAGGAAACAATCCAACAACTCGAGATTTTGGAGCATGAAAAGACGGAGTTGTCCAAGATATTATCTTGTCTGCAGAGAGAAAACGAAGAGGTCAAAACGACAAGAGACGAACAAGGGAAACAGATTCTGAAACTTYTAGAAGATAACGATCATTTGAGTGAAGAACGCAAGTGCCTAGAAGAAGAAACCCGGGTTTTGGACCATAAAATCCACCAATTGACGGAAGACCATCAAAAAACGGAGGAAACTTTGCGTTYTGAGTTGCATAACGAAAAGGGCAATGCTCGATTGTTGGAAACACATGCATCGGAAGTCTATGGTGATTTGCAAACTTCGACTTTTTGTCAAGTTGTATTAGAAGAGCGGATTCGCGAGCTTACTGAAGTTTGTTTGAGCCTTCAAGAAGACAACACGTCCAAGGATRCGAATACCAAATTGCTGAAAGAAAGAACCGACGTTTTGGAATGTGAGAACGGAGATCTCAAAGCTCATTTGGCTGCATACGGCCCCGCCCTTGTGTCTTTGAGGGATTGCATCCTATCGCTCGAAAATCGTACCTGTATCAGAACCAAAGTCCAACACTCTGAAAATGAAGMAGCAGCGAAGGTAATGTTCTAACTATGTAGTGAATTCATACTTGCACATTCTGAGTTTTACCTCTGCATACAAACATACAAAAAGATTTCTTTGATATGCCAAATCGCTCATCGACCCATTGAACTTATGGTACAATCCTAGATTTTTCAACAGTTTTAATGAGCTTAATGGGACTAACAACTTATTCRTTCAGCTATATATGATTGTTTGGTAGTGGCTTAATGATATAGAAAGTGACTTATTCAGTAAACTTCTAGGGGGAGCTTAATGCAGAAAGCCAAAAAATTCCAAACYTGCCCTTCCCAAWTAACAAAACATGCCCATTCCACCCTCCCAAACAAAAATCTTCCCAATCTTATACAGAGATTAATCCACACCGAAAGTTTTATCTATACAGGACTTGATGGAAAACCAACCAAACATYCGGATAAATGATCTTAAATGGGTTTTCAATTAGGAGTATGACTTTCTAAAATTTTCTTTTAGCTCAAAGACTTTCATCTAACCCGCCCCCGGTTTAAAACAGTATGCTCCGTTAAAAACTTAGAAATACGCTAGAGGGTCATCTTGCAAAATGAGCTTTTGGAGAAATCATTCAGCTAAATAGCTATAGGGCTATTTAGYCTAAATGACTTTCTCAAAAATTGARTTTAAGAATCTAACCCTCTAATGTATTTCTAAGTTTTTACAGAACYAGGTTGTTTTGAACCATGGGCAGGTCAAACAAAGGTCATTGAGCTAAATTTATTTTAGAAGATCATGCTCCTAATTGAAAATTCATTTAAGGTCATTTATCWAAAGGAACCATATCAAGCTATTTAGCTGAATGACCTTCATTTGACCCACCCATGTTTCAAAACAGCCTGTTCCCATAAAA